AACGCGGGCGAATCACTTGAGGTCAGGAGTTCGAGACCAGCCTGGCCAATATGGTGAAACCCCGTTTCTACCGAAAATACAAAAATTGGCCGGGCGTGGTGGTGGGCGCCTGTAATCCCAGCTATTCGGGAGGCTGAGGCAGGAGAATCGCTTGAACCCGGGAGGTGGAGGCTGCAGTGAGCCGAGATTGCCCCACTGCACTCCAGCCTGGGCAATAGAGTGAGACTCTGTCTCAAATAAATAAATGAATAAATAAAATAAAAAATAAACATCATAAATATGTTGAGTAGGATACATCCAACCTTTCTGTCCCTTTTCATTCAGTTCTTAAAGTTTGGGTCATAACTAATCTGGAATAGGGGATTACAAGGGCGTAAGTGCACAGGAGGTCCCAATGGAGGTTACGTCTGCTTCTGGGCTTCTGGAAGCGACTCACCGGTCTCCTTTACTAAGAAAATGTCAAATAATGCTTGAACAAATAACTAATCAAACAAAGCAAGAGCACAAGCAAAATAATTAATGGCTCCAGAATTACAGTTGAATCAGTCAATCTAAGTCAAATGGCCAAACTACGCAAATTTATTTTGGGAAAAGGGAATTGTCAAGGGGGATGTGGATGAGGATGGTTAAAATTAGAGGTGATGTGTAAACATTTGAATCCAGCTGCCCTTATGATTCATAATGTGTGTGAAGGAAAACTGGTGTTTACTGATCCTTTGTGGATTGATTGTATATATTACACCACTTCATAACATAAGACTCCTTATGCGAATATGCCAGGTTGGCAGACCTGACAATGAGAGACGGGTTTGTGACAGTAGGCACGGAAATTCATCATTCTGCTAGTTCCCTGCTACAGAGTGAGGATCCATATGCTAGCAAATCATGCAATCTTAGTGTTGAGAGGCAGGGGGTTGGTGGTGAACAAGCTGGACTGAATGTTGTACTTGGCAATATTTGAAAATAACTCTAAATACAGTATCTTGCTAATGGTATTTCTTTCTCTAAAATTCATTTAAAAAATAGTTTATAGAATTCAAAACTTAGAGTGTCTAATACGTATGGGGCACTCTAGAATATACAAAGATGAATGATATATAATCTTTGCCCTCGAAGAGTTTTTAATTTGGTGTAGGGGCACATATGCATGCAAACAATGACCATAAAATGTAGGGCATGATAATTTAATTCTATGAAATGAAAATCCATTGAGAGCTCATCAGGAACCAGCCCTGTGCTATAACAAGGACAGAAAATATTACAAAAGAGCAAACAAATTAATTCTGATTGGGAAGATTGGGAAAGGGTTCTTAGAGGAAACAGCATTTAATCCAAGGTCACACAACCAGTAAGTGATGGAGCTGGGATTTGGTTCCAGAGTCAACTCCCGTGAATGCTATGCTCTACCAGCTCCCAGTATGTGGAGCTTAGAGTAAGGTAGTACCATGCAGATGAAGAAGTACAAGTAGCCAGTTGTGGCTAGACCAGGGGTCCGCTACCCTACTTGTGCATCAGGATCTTTGGGGAAGCTTTAAAAAATGTTAATCCTCAGGTCTCACCCCTAGATATTGCTTTCCAAGTAGTCTTAACACACAGCCAGGGATGAGACTCACTGGGTTGGACTCTGTGGCTTATTAAGGGGAGGCAAAACTGAAAAGGTAGGCTGGACCTAACCTGGGAGATAGAAATGCCATGCTAAATTATGCACTTCAACTTTATTTTCTAGGTGAAGAAGAAGCTACTGGGGAGGGAAATGGTAGGATCAGAAGTATTTAGTAATTAGCTTGATTTAATCACTGCACAATGCATACATGTATCAAAACATCAATGTACACTGCAAATATAGACAAAATTTTTAGTTGTCAATTATATCTTAATAAAACTGGGGGAGTGGAGAAATATTTAGACTGATTATTTTGGCTGCAGCATGAAGGTTGGGTTTGAAGAGCAGATATTGAAGGCAAGAACAGAAGTTAGGAGGGCTATGCCATCCCAAGGAGAAGTGAGGAAAAACTCACCTGGGGCAGCAGGCAGAAATGTAAAGGAAGAGTCATATATGAGAGACATGGCAGAAGTAAATTCAATAGGCCAGGCTTACATGTGTAATCCCAGCACTTTGGGAGGCTAAGGCAGGTGGATCACCTGAGGTCAGAAGTTCGAGCCTGATGAAACCCCATCTCTACTAAAAATACAAAAATTAGCTGGGCATGGTGGTGTACACCTGTAGTCCCAGCTACTAGGGAGGCCAAGGCAGGAGGATGGCTTGAGGTGGTTGCAGTGAGCTGAGATCATGCCACTGCACCCCCGCCTGGATGATGGAGCAAGACTCTGTCTCAAAGAAAAAAAAGGAAGAAAACTCAATAAAACTTGTGATTAGTTAGAAGGAAGAGGCAACTAAGAGGGAAGCATGGAAGACTGATGCTGTGAGCATGCAAGGGCACACTGCAGAAGCAGATTTGAGAACGGGAGAGGATCATGAGTTTATGTTGTCTTACGGAATTTGAGGTTCCTAAGGAACGATCTTGTGGAGGTGTCAAATGGGCAGTCCCGAAATTTGAGTCTGTAACTAATGAGAAAGACTAAAGTTAAGCTGGCTGTCATTTAAACACAGGTGAAACCTGAAAATTTCAGCATTTGGTTGAAATCGTTAAAGAAGAGAATGTCTGGAACTATATATATATATATATATATGAAATAAGAGGGCTTCAGAAAACACTTAAATTTAGGGGGCAGATGGGGAAAAGATAAATGCCAGAGACTTGGAAGAAGATGGAGCAAGAACACGAAAGAAGAAACCAAGAGGGCACAGGAGAACTGAGAAGAGCATTCTAAGTGGGTGGATAATCAATAATGCCACATGAGTAGGCTGAAGAAATGAAGCTTTTGTCTTTGGAAGGTCACTGGTAGCTTTGTAGTTAAATAAAGTGGAGAAAGTAGAAGCCAGGCCACAATGAACTGGACAATGACGGGGAGATGAGCATATGTCGGCAGCAAATGTGGAGATTTCCATTAAGAAGCCTTGTGGAGAAGAGGAGAAATGAATGGGACCATAATATGAAAGTTAGGTCATGGGAAGTAAGGTTTGTTTTGCAGGAGAAAGTTGAGTATATTTTAAAACCAAAGAGATGGAGTTTATGGAGAGGTATAACTTGAAGTTAACAAGATGCAGACAGGATGCTGTGGCTCACGTCTATCATCTCAGTACTTTGTGAGACTGAGGCGGGAGGATCTCTTTTGACTCCAGGGGTTTGAGACTAGCCTGGGTAACAAAGGGAGACCCTGTTGCTATGGGAAAAAAAAAAAAAAAAAGTAAGCTGGGTGTGAGGGGCACACACCTGTAGTCCCAGCTACTCAGGAGGCTGAGGTGGGAGGATCGCTTGAGCTGTGGAAGTTGAGGCTGCAGTGAGCAGTGATTGTGCCACTGCACTCCAGCCTGGGCCACAGAGTGAGACCCTATCTCAAAACAAACAAAGTCCGGGCGTGGTGGCTCATGTTTGTAATCCCAGCACTGTGGGAGGCTGAGGCAGGCGGATCACCTGGGGTCAGGAGTTCAAGACCAGCCTGGCTAACATGGTGAAACTCCATCTCTACTAAAAATACAAAAAATTAGCCAGGTGTGGTGGCAGACGCCTGTAATCTCAGCTACTCGGGAGGCTGAGGCAGGAGAATCACTTGAACCCAGGAGGCGGAGGTGGCAGTGAGCTGAGATTGCGCCACTGCACTCCAGCCTGGGCAACAGGGTGAGATTCTGTCTCAAAAAACAAATTTTAAAAAACCCTCAAAACCAACAAAACAGAAAACAAAAACAAAACGCTGGGGTAAAGTGATGGAGTCAGTTCCCGGAGGGTACTGAAAAGCACTAATTCAAGAGAACTCATGGAAAGTGGCCCTTCTTTCTCATAGAGGAGAGGGAAGGAGAGAGGGAGAGAGACAGACAGAGACAGAGACAGACAGAGACAGAGAAGAAAGGGAGAGAAGGAAGAGGAGAGAGAGAGAGAAAGAGAAAGCCGGTACATTCTGCTGAGGGAAGCTGCGGGAGTTGATAATTGGGACCCTGAGTAGAGTGGCAAACATCTGGAGCTGCATATATGTAGAGGTGGTGCAGGCAACAAGGGATGAAAACGAGGAATTAAAAAAAAAAAAAAAAGAAAAGAAAAAGAAAAGAAAAAAAAAGAAGGACTGACCTGGAGGGTCCACCAAGGAATTTCTTTGTAACAGGTAACAGCTGTAATATGACATGTTGAAGTATTAACACTGATGACTGCTTGTCTACATTATTTTCCAAGTGCATGAATTGAGTAGTTACAGGGAAAAAGCGAACTGCCTGTTCCCAACGTCCTACACAGATGAACTGAAGCGAAGAAAAAAAAATAAACTTTCTTTTGATGTCAACAAGTTACAGAGTATCATTTACTGTTGAAACCAGGTTATACTGATTATTTTCGATCTGGTAGTTCTTTATTATCATTACACTTGGCTGAGTCATTCCTACGCCCTAAGTACAGACGGCTAGAGTTACCACGTGAGAGTAAAACATTATAATATCAAAATAATTAGATTGGCCACAAAAATTACCCCGGAAAGATACTGCGTAGCAAAAACGTTGGCAGCAAGTTCCAAAGACTTGGCGACGACAAGCAGGGAGCGCGCACGTGCAGCCATACCTGGGGCCCGCCCAGCGCAGCCAAGCGCGCCGAGAAAGGTCAGCAGCAGCCCCGCTCCCACCAGGCAGGCGGTCGCCTGCACCCTGCGGCGGAAGCACGCGGAGGCACAGCCAGGGCCTCCGCCCTTTGCCAGTGAAGGGCACACCCCAAGGTCTGGGAGCATCGTTCTCAGGAAAGTACAAGTTCTTCTTTGATGGAGCCCCAGAAAAGCCTCTCCCGCCCTTCCTCGGCTCCCCAAGGGCAGGGCTGGACCCGGCTGCAGAGTTGGCCGGACACTGACTGGGTCAAGTGACGGTCGGGCTGACCGCACCCCCCACCCCCGGTCGCCCCGGGTCGCTGGTGCACTGCGCCTGCGCACGCCTCCCCAAGGAGTTCGCAGCGAGGGGCGGAGCTTGGCCCCCCAGTAACTCGGTCTCCAGGGACCGGGAATAACAGAAGCTAGCTGAGAGCGCCTGCGCGGCCGTCGGTTGAGGGGGAGGTCGGGTCTGGGAAACTAGGCCCTGGGGTTTTCCCTGAGCAGGAGCGGTGCCCGAGGGCCTCAGGTACGCAGAAGTGCGGGGAGACAGAGGGTCAGCACCTCCTAAGGGCCCGAACGGCAGGAGAGAGAGAGGACTTGTCCCCAGAGGCGGAGTCCGTAGTGGGGGCGCCCCAGTTGACCCTTCGGGACAGAACGTGACTTCAGCCTTAAGGATCTAAAACCGGCTGCAGCCAGGTCAGGTGGCCCTCAACGCTCAGGTTACAAAACTTTTACCGTCTGCGCCACGGGGACTCCTGGGATGAGGGTTTGACAGCCAGGCACCTGCTCCAGGCCCTAGCAGCCTCTGTGCTCTTTTGAATCAAGCACGGTTCCAGCAGGAGGGAAGCCCTGAGAGCTCTTTGTGCCAGTCACTACCTCTGGGCCACAGCTTGCTCACCTGTAAAATGGTGAGGATGGACTGGGACGGAACCCTTCAGTTTACAGGTGAAGAAACGGGGGCCAGCAAGGGAGAAGTCGCTTGTCCTGTTACAGGCCTAAAACCTGACTTTCAATCCGATGCTCTTTCCACTTACTGTAGAGTATACTGTGCGTGGCAGAGGCTGGTGCTGGAGGAGAGGAGAGCTAGGTGGCAGGAACACCTGTAGCACCTCCGTTTCTCTACCCTCAGGGCCTAACACAGTGTCTTGTGCATAGTAATCACTCACCAAATGGTTTTTGAAGGGAAGCTTTGGCAGATCCAGCACCACTGTCCCCAGAAAAGTTTAAGGAAATGTGGGTAGGGCAAATGTAGAAATAGTTTGCTTTAGCAGACGAGAGTGAACCTCAGACAAACTCTTCGCATGTATCTGGTTTAAATCTCCCGTAGGCATCAGTCCAGGCCCTGAATGGCTGGTCTCCAGCGGTTGGCATCACATCTGCCTGTGGGCGTTATGCTTCCACATAATACAACAGAAGCTCCAGGGCCCCACTCAGCCAAGCAAGACTCTTACGAACAAAGTGACTCTTCCCAGCAGTCCTTGAAGGGGCACCTGAGGAACAATTTCCAGAAGCAGCTTTTGAGCAACAAAGAGTTGACTCTGGATAAAGTCCACACTCACCCCAAATGGAACACAAAAGCCCAGAGCTACTCCTATCCCCACTGTACTGGAATCAGCCACCAAGATGCAGGAAGTGATTTCCAGGGCCAAGGAAATGGTTTGTTTTACTCATCAGGCCCTCAATCCTGGTATCCCAAAGCCAATAACCAGGACTTTATCCCCTTTACAAAGAAACGAGTTGGAGTGGACCGGGCGTACCCACTGAAACCCGTGGTCCACAGGAAGTTGTGCAGTACAGGTGAGTCTGGCACTGATGGGGACCAGAATGTCTACCCAAGGCCCCCTGAACTGAGAGAGTTTTCATCCAGGAACTTTGATGTGAGGAACCAGGTCAACTTTTCTGTGGTTGATCCTGTTCTTGCTGCCATGCAGGCGGAGAAGGCCTTGGCAAACTTGGACAGGATGGAGTGGGTGCAGATCCGAAGACTAGAAGCTGCAGGGGAGAGCTTAGAGGAGGAAATCCGAAGAAAGCAGATTCTCCTGAGAGGAAAGCTGAAGAAGACAGAGGAGGAACTCAGAAGGATCCAGACGCAAAAGGAGCAGGCCAAGGAAAATGAAAACAGAGAGCTACAGAAAATTATATTCCCCAGGAGCAGAGTTAAAGGTAATAACAGCAACACCACACACAAAGCTGTCTTCTCCCCAGAATTTGATTTTGAGGAAGAATTTAGTAGAGACAGGAGAGAGGATGAAACTTGGGAACGGTCTCAACAAAATTCGAGTCCATTCCAGCTCTCTGATTATAGAATCCAGAGACTCAAAAGGGAAAGGCTGGTAGCAAGCAATAACAAAATTCGAGACCGAGTCTCAGAGCCGTCGATGGAGAAGTTCTCCCCGCCTTCAGAAACACCAGGCGGTGCTTTGCAGGGATCTGCCAGAAATTCCAGCCTGTCCATGGCACCAGACTCCTCAGGTTCCAGCGGCTCCACTGAAGAGCCACAGCTGGGTGAGTGCAGCCACTGTGGGCGAAAATTCCTCTTGTTCAGGCTGGAGAGACACTCCAACATCTGCAGCAGGATACAGGGTTCCAAGAGGAAAGTGTTTGACTCCTCCAGGGCCCGGGCTAAGGGCACAGAACTAGAGCAATACTTGAACTGGAAGGGGCCAGCTTCAGCCAAGGTAACAAGAGCCTTATGGATGTGACTTGGTGTGGGGATCATTGTAGGGGTCTGTTTTGTCATCATCAGTTTTCTTTAGGGAAAATTCATGTGTCATGTAGGAAGAATTGACGTCTAGAATTAACATTTCTTGATTACTACTGTATGCCAGCATTGTGATGGGAGCTTTGCATGTGATCCTCGCATTTATCTCTCATTTTATCAGTTCAAAAATCAAGACTTGGACAGGCTAAGTAACTTGCTTGAGGTCACAGCTTTAAGTGGCAGAGTCAGCATATAAATCTTGGTTAGAATGACTAAAAAATCTAGACCAAGAATTTGTGTCCTTTGGATTATAAAAGTAATAAAAGTTTACTGTAGAAAATTTAAAAGACACAAAAAATCGAAAGAAAAAAAATGCAGGCTTTTGTCACCTGGAGAGAACGCCTCACTCTTTGCAATGTATTCTGCCACCTCCCAAGACTAGAATCTGTGAGCATTCCTTTAACTATGTACTCTGTTAAGATTAGCTCAGTGTTGGCGGGCGCGGTGGCTCACGCCTGTAATCCCAGCACTTTGGGAGGCTGAGGCGGGTGGATCACAAGGTCAGGAGATCGAGACCATCCTGGCTAACACTGTGAAACCCCATGTCTACTAAAACTGCAAAAAAATTAGCCGGGCATGGTGGCGGGCGCCTGTAGTCCCAGCTACACGGGAGACTGAGGCAGGAGAATGGCATGAACCCAGGAGGCGGAGCTTGCAGTGAGCCGAGATCGCACCACTGCACTCCAGCCTGGGCAACAGAGCAAGACTCCATCTCAAAAAAAAAAAAAAAAAAAAAGATCAGTGTTGACATAGCTTCTTCGTAAATAGATGAAACACAATTAAGTTTGGAATTCTTTTTCTCCCCATTTAGAACGTAAACACGGCCGGGCGCGGTGGCTCAAGCCTGTAATCCCAGCACTTTGGGAGGCCGAGACGGGCGGATCACGAGGTCAGGAGATCGAGACCATCCTGGCTAACACGGTGAAACCCCGTCTCTACTAAAAATACAAAAAACTAGCCGGGCGAGGTGGCGGGCGCCTGTAGTCCCAGCTACTCCGGAGGCTGAGGCAGGAGAATGGCGTAAACCCGGGAGGCGGAGCTTGCAGTGAGCTGAGATCGGGCCACTGCACTCCAGCCCGGGCTACAGAGCAAGACTCCGTCTCAAAAAACAAAACAAACAAACAAAAAAACCAAGAACGTAAACACCTTGAAGGTAAAAAGGACTTTCTTTCTGGTTATCTAACAAACCATGCCCTTGCCAATTATTTCTCACTTTAGAAAAACCAGGTTGTAAAAAGTAAGTGCTTCGTGACACTTACATGATAAATTTAGGTGAACTTCATAGGCACATTTGGACACATCTGGAGAAGATTATCTCATAAATGAATGACATGTCAAGGTTTTGCCACTTGGTTTATAAAATGGTTATTTCTCAAGGTGTGGCACACTGACAAGCTTTATGTTAGTAGTTTTAGTGTTTAGTGTTTCAGTGTTATATTAGGAAAATATAACAATATATTAAGCCCCTGATTTCCAGGGATCGTAAATTTACAGAAAAATATTAATTAATTGTAAGGATGAAGTGAAAGTGCAGATGATTGAAGTTTGAGAAAGTGTAGACCATATGATCTCAGAGGCTCTGTCTAGTTCTAATATTCCAGAAAAATAAGAGAGTGTCATTCTGTTTTCATTTCTTCCCAACCCTCCCTCCACTGTGCTGGCACCTCTTGTCCATTGGGACCTTACAGTTTCTGATATTTTCTGGAGCCTTTAAAAACTCACATTTATATGATGGTTGTTAGAAGAAATTGTTTACAATTAGAGTTCTTTTTTTCAGTACAGTTTGGGGAAATCACAAGGAAGTCCCATCCATGTTCAGAGATCATCTCCCTGAAATCTAGTTTCCAAAGAAGAAATCAACATTTTGCTCTTGCAGAGAATAATGTGATGGCCACTCACTGTTTTTTCCTGTTTTCTTTCAGTTCAACCCAATAATCCACTGGGAATTCACTCTGTCCCACTGTAGCAATTTATTTTTGGTCAGAGCCTAAAATAATCTTGTGTTTCTTAAATTTGTAAATACAGTTACGGTGAAGCAAAATAATTAGGTTCCTGAGATCAGATGCTCCAGCTTTATGGCAACTAGTTTGGGGGAATGTGTGACATTGAGGACACCAAGACAGAAGGGACCTAGACTAAGATGCACCCGCACCACCCTGGTAATGTCTCAAATCTTATTCCACAGTGCTGTGCCTTTGGAAGCTGAGTGGTTGTACCTTCCTGTCATTCCTATAGAGTACTCAAGAACAGGTGATTTTCCTGGTGTCTTTTAATCTTCACGTAATTTCCAGCAGACGTACACCCCGTCTCTCTCCTGGACTGTAAGCATTTTTGAGGACAGGGAACATATCTTTGTGCTTTGTGCTTAATAAGTGTTAACTGAATAGAATTTCAGTACAATGAGGAATAAAATTGAGGAATTAGAGTATAAGAAGTAAATTACTAAAGTATCTCATACACTTGAGGAACTTTCCCCTGATCAAATTCTTTGAGACAGAGTCTCACTCTGTTGCCCAGGCTGGAGTGCAGTGGCGCGATCTCGGCTCACTGCAGCCTCCACCTGCTGGGTTCAAGGAATTCTCTGTCTCAGTCTCCTGAGTAGCTGGGATTACAGGTGCCCATCACTACACTGGCTAATTTGTATTGTTAGTAGAGATGGGGTTTCACCATCTTGGCCAGGCTGGTCTTGAACTCCTGACCTTGTAATCCACGCACCTCGGCCTCCCAAAATGTTGGGATTACATGCATGAGCCACCGTGCCTGGCCTTCGAATCTTTTAAAGGTTCCTGGTTACCATCACTAACACTCTCTTGCCTTCTTGTCTGTTTCAGCAAGAGACTTTCCAGAAGGATCCTTTCTTTTCCTTCAATAGTCTGTCTTCCTATTATTCATCATTAACAATGCCAGATCACCAAGAGCTGTTTGTCTTTTTCTCTTTTAAAAATTTAATAGTGTTTGCATGCATTTACAAAATCATGTAGTACTGACTGACCTATACTGGAGCCCCTAATTCAGCCCCCGGAGGTAGCCTTCAGTTCTGTTAGATGGTTCTTCTGGCCTGCCTTTCTATATTTCTAAATAATATGTTTATTTTCTTGATTTATCAATTTTCTACATTACCTTTTTTTTTTTCCTTTTTTTCTTTTTTTTGAGACGGGGTCTCTGTCGCCCAGGCTGGAGTGCAGTGGCTTGATCTCGGCTTGCTGCAACCTCCACCTCCCAAGTTCAAGCAATTCTTGTGCCTCAGCCTCCTAAGTAGCTGGGATTACAGGCGCCTGTCACCACGCCCGGCTAATGTTTGTATTTTTAGTAGAGACAGGGTTTCACCATGTTGGCCAACTTGGTCCTGAACTCTTAACCTCAAGTCATCTGCCCACCTCAGCCTCCCAGAGTGCTGGGATTACAGGCGTGAGCCACAATGCCTGGTCTACCTGGTAACTTCTTACGGAAGCTGGGAGTGAAATTCTCTTTCATATTCCCTCTCTCCTACTGTTGTCCTTCTCTTACCCTTCCACTGTAGTTGAATCACAATTGTTGGTTAAAAGAAGTTAGCTTTCACATTGTAATGATCATGTACATTTTGTTCATTAATGAGTGAACAAATTCTGTCTCTGCCCACATGTACCTAAATAATGGATGTATGTTTTCATTTCCTTCATTTTCTACATACCTGTCTTTTTTTTCCCCCACAATGATCCATCTGATATCAGACATCTGTTAACGTTTTTGTAATGCTCAAACACCTCTCATAATCTATCAGTTTGATTTTTTAATTCTGAAAACCTCCCTTCCACCACTCTGATCCCTTCTGCTCCAGCCTGGACTGGTTATTCTCTAGGCCTGGTGCAAACCCATTGTCTTGGGACTTCTCTTTGCTTCTCTTCTTTGTTGGGTCCCGTTTCCAGCATCATGTCTTCTTTGTTCTTACATTACTCCTTCCTTTGCTGAAACTTACTAAGAAAGGTGCACAGCAGGTATACTGTCTTGGAATGAATGACACTATCTGTGTAACAGGCCCCCATTTGATGCTTCGGCTAGGTACAGAATTCTAGGAGGAAAATGATTATCTGTTAGAACTTTTAAGGTATTTCCCACTAGCTCGTAGCATCCAGTGTATTGTTGAGAAATCTAATGCCATTTTGATTCCTGTTTCATTACAAGAAACCTTTTTTTTTTAAAGGCTACAGGATTCTCTATTTATTTTGAAATTCTGAAACTTTACAATAATTGTGCTGGATACTTGGTAAGCCATTTCAGTCTCAAAATGTGTGACCTTTAATTCTAGGAATGTTAATTGTATTATTTCCTTAATAATTTTCTCCTCTCCAGGTGCTGTGGCTCACGATTATAATCCCAGCACTTTGGGAGGCTGAGGCAGGTGGATCACCTGAGGTCAGGTGTTCGAGACCAGCCTGACCAATATGGTGAAACCCCGTCTCTGCTAAAAATACAAAAATTAGCCGGGTGTGGTGGCGCACGCCTGTAGTCCCAGCTACTTGGGAGGCTGAGATAGGAGAATCGCTTGAATCCAGGAGGCTGAGGTTGCAGTGAGCCAAGATTGTGCCACTGCACTCCAGCCTGGGCAACAGAGCGAGACTCCATCTCAAAAATAATAATAATAATAATAATAATAATAATAATAATAATAATAATTTCTCCTTGTGCTTTCTCTGCTCCTTCTGGAACTCTTACTGGTCACATGTTGGACTTCCAGGATTAACTTTCTAATTTTCTAATCTTTTCTTTTTACTTTCCATCTTCATCTTTTTTCCCATTCTGAGAAATTTTCTTGACATTAGTTTACAACATTTCTATTTATTTATTTATTTATTTTTTGAGACAGGGTCTTGCTCTGTTGCCCTGGCTGGAGTGCAGTGGCACGATCTTGGCTCACTGCAACCTCTGCCTTCTGGGTTCAAGCAATTCTTCTGCCTCAGCCTCCTGAGTAGCTGGAACTACAGGCGTGTGCCACCACGCCTGGCTAATTTTGTGTATTTTTAGTAGAGACGGAATTTAACTGTGTTAGCCAGGATGGTCTCGATCTCCTGACCTCGTGATCTGCCCACGTCGGCCTCCCAAAGTGCTGGGATTATAGGCATGAGTCACCGCGCCCGTCCTCTATTTAAATAATTTTTATTTTTAGCTATCAAAGTTTTGATTTATAATAGTTCTTTCTGGTTCTCTGGTTGTCTTTTTTCATAGTATACTCTTCTTGTTTTATGGACATAATCTCTTCTAATACTCATTTTGTTGATACGGTCTCATGTTAAAAAAAGTTTTCTTCTGCCTCCTGCCTTGTTGCTGCTTCCTAGGTTTTTGTTTGTGGACTTTCTGGGCTCTTTTTCTTGTTAGAGCTTTTAGTAAATATCTGATGATTCCTGGCTGTCCTTTCATATTTAAGCTTAAGTGGGGCTTGTTGACTAAGGATCTTCATATTAAAGTTACCAAATAGTGAGTCTTTTAATTAGTGTCTCCCAAGGTCAGTATCTGAAGGCTTTTCTCTGGACTGCTCCATGTATCCAGAGAACCCCTCTTTTTCCTATGAGGATGTCAATCTGCTTGGTACTCTGGGGGCTGAGCGGGGGAAGGAGGCTGACAGTTCCATAATTTGGTATGTACACTTGTACTTAATCCCCATTTTCAGCCCCAAGATTAACCCGGTTCCACCGTCTGGATTTCCTGAGTCAGAAGTCTGTCTGGTTCAATTTCTCCAGAGCATAAATCCTTGCTCTTCTGTGAGTGTGCCTGGGTGTTGGACACTTGGATGCGTAAGGTGGGAGGAGCCGTGGGGTCCTGCTTGTTTTCAGTTCTGTACCTCCTTACTTTCCACTATCTGGTACTTCCAAGCACTGAACCTCTCCGGATTCTGTTGGGAAAGTGGCTTGCCTCTCAGCAGTACCTCCTTTGCAGGCCCTTGGTTTGCCTCAATGCTGGCAAGTCAGTTACCACTGTTGCTCCTTTCCTGTTATTTGACCTTGCTGATTAGTACCCTTTTCATTTTCTTACTGTTATTCTAAAAGAGACTCAGGAAGGAGATAGGTGCCAAGTTGAATGATCAGTCTCCCTTTTACATTACAGGCTGAACCTCCTCGGAAGAACAACTGGAGACAGAAGCACGAATCTTTTATCCATACGCTCCGCCAGGCTCGAGAGGTCCAGCAGGTAACTGCCAAAGGTGAAAACCGTTCACACTTGCCTCCCATCCTGCCTGCAGAAAACCCAGACTACATTCAGTGTCCTCACTGTAGCCACCACTTTGCTCCCAAGGTGGCTGAGCAACACATTCCCAAGTGTAAGACCATCAAGAACCGTCCTCCACCTCCAAGGAAGCATTATAGTTGAGCAGACAACAATGGAAACTTTTGGATAGGTCAGAAAGCTCTGCTTCTCTTCAGCAGTAAATGGGAGTAGAATTTGATGCAAAGCAGAGAGAAATCAAACAGCTCCCAGATCTGCCTGCAGAGTTAAAGTCTGTGAGGAGAGAGCCACTGTTAAGCAGCAGGAGGCAGAAGGAAGCCCCAGCTTCCCACTAAATTACAACCTTGGGCTGGTAAGCTTTATGTTATTGCCCTCAGAATTGATGGGTGAAGACACTGAAGAGTCGTGAGCAGGCTCCATTAAAGCTCTCTTCTTGCATGCCTGACTTGTGGTTTGTGCTAGTGAAGTGCCTGCATCTGGTTGTGCCTTCCTGTCACTGCATGTATGTTCAGAGTTCTGTTAACTCTTGCTTTTGTAGAAGCTGGAGTTATTAGGATGTGTTGGAGTCAGAGGGGCATGATCACCCAGATGGTAACTCTTATGAAAGATAATATAATTTTGCTGTAAGGCATTATTAATGGAAATCTATCCTTGGTCTCCCTGGTGCATGATCCTGGCCAAAAACCAATACAAGTATGTAAGGTTAAGGCACCAATGTCTCCTAAACCTTCCCTATGGTGTACTGTGTAATAAAGGAAAGATCTTTATGTACTTTATAGGGTAGGGATGGGTGTTGGGGGGAAACACATTATACTTCTGCTTGTTCTTTTCTAATGGGTTTCATATGTTAAGAAAGAAACCTCCATTTTAGCTGTTAATAGCACTCTACTTTCAAATCAGTTTGGCTAAATGACTGTTTAGAGGCAGCAAAATCTACCATCAAAGTAAGCTGAGATAGGCTGGGCATGGTGGCTCATTCCTATAATCCCAGCACTTTGGGAGGCTGAAGTGGGAGGATTGCTTGAGGCCAGGAGTTCAACAGCAGCCTCGACAACAAAGCAAGAGCCCGTCTCAAAACAAAACAAAGCTGGGACATTGCACAGTGTCACATGCCCTTGGCAATTATAGCATAGTCAACTTCTATTTGAGAGAGTAAACTCTGAAGGGAAAGGGATCAAATCTTTTTAGTTTTCTCTGTGTAGAATATTGCCTAGCACAAGTTAAGACCTCAATTAATGAGGTCTGGAGATTAAAAATTAAACAAGGTGAATGAGTCCTAGACTAGTGAAATGAGAGAACTGATAATGTCTGCGAGAGTATTATCAGTTCAAATAGGAGTGAAGTTAGCACAACAGATAGAAATCCTAGGATTACTGTTCTGTATTACTCAAATTGTTAGTTTAAAATACTGGAGAAAAACTGCTCAATTTGAGCTAGGCAACAGGGCTAGACAGACAACAAAATCCTATTTTACTAAATAACAAATGGCCACTCACTCTTGCTCCATTTCCTCTGCAGCTTCTGCTGAGTTGCTGGGCTAACAGATCAGACCAATTTGAAATGTGAGTTAAGGCTTTAGCGGTGAAGCTGCAGGATACAGGCTGGGAAAAAAGTCCTATATATTTAAAAAGGAGCACATATTTCTTTGCACCCTTTTTAATTGTTCCAAAGGAAAGGAGGTATCACATAATAAAGCTTTATGGGTAGCCCCTTAAGGAAACCTCACACAGAGATAATGGATATTTAACCTAATAGGTACATTCCCTAGGCAAGTTCAATGAAATGTACACTTTAAGTGGGAATGTAAACTAGTACATTGCAATAGATGGCAAGAATAAGCTGTGGCCAAGGTCACAAAATGGCAACATGTGGACTGCTTTGCTCCACAGATGTTTTATTTAGCTGGCCTAGTATTCACAATATGATCCGACATTTAAAAACTGGGATATGGAACATCTCTTGAAAAACTGGAAGTTCTGGAAACACTGGGCCAGCAACCTGCATGGCACAACCTGCATGGTTTAGAATCAGATGGATGCTCCTTCAGATGGGAATGGTAGCACCAGACCACCACAGTCTCACCTGACCTGCTTCACTTCTTTACTTTATCTGCCTGGTACCACAGGCTCCTGGATTCGGGATCCCTGGATGTTAGTAAGGTCATAGATCAGGGCCCTCCAGAGAGAACAAATGTTGTTATATGTGGGGAGTGCTTTCTATAGACAAGGAAGCAGTTATTCGCTCTCATTTTGCTAAAGAAATAAAACAGTAGTCAATGCCTTAGTGTTCCCTTTAATCTCTACATGTTTAGGCCTTGGTTATATCAGAAATATCTTTCAAGGCCGAGCACAGTGGCTCATGCCTGTAATCCTAGCACTTTGGGAGGCCAAAGTGGGCAGATCATGAGGTCAAGAGATCGAGACCATCCTGGCCAACATGGTGAAACCCCGTCTCTACTAGAAATACAAAAATCAGCTGTGTGCGGTGGTGTACGCCTGTAGTCCCAACTACTCGGGAGGCTGAGGCAGGAGAATTGCTTGAACCCAGGAGGCAGAGGTTGCAGTGAGCTGAGATCGCGCCATTGCACTCCAGCCTGGTGACCTAGTGAGACTCCATCTCAAAAAAAAAAAAAAAAAAAAAAAAAAAAAAATCTTTCATCTTTTAAATTTAGCTTGATCTGGTCTCTGGAAAGAGGTAAGAACCTTTTTTTAAAAAAATCTAAATCTCTTCCCGGATAGCTCAGAGGATGACAGTAAATAAATGCATGCTGCTTCTTAATGTCTGTATTTTATACTACTTTATCCAATAAATGTTTAGTGCAAGTAAACATTATAAATTCTAAAGTTCATAAGGTTACACCATGGGAGAAATTTCATGGGGAAACTCACATGGAAACGAATTTCATTAAAAATGTATACAGACGTGCCAAGACAGTATTTCTTTTTTATTTTATTTTTTTGAGATGGAGTCTCGCTCTTGTTGCCCAGGCTGGAGTGCAGTGGAGCGATCTTGGCTCACTGCAAGCTCCGCCTCCCAGGTTCATGCCACTCTCCTGCCTCAGCCTCCCTAGTAGCTGGGACCACAGGCGCCCGCCACCATGCCCAGCTAATTTTTTGTATTTTTAGTAGAGACGGGGTTTCACCGTGTTAGCCAGGATGGTCTCTATCTCCTGACTTGCCTGCCTCAGCCTCACGAAGTGCTGGGATTACAGGCATGAGCCACCATGCCCGGCCTGCCGAGATAGTTTTTCTTTTTTTTCTTTTTGAGATGGAGTCTTGCTCTGTAGCCCAGGCTGGAGTGCAGTGGCGTGATCTCAGCTCACTGCAAACTCTGCCTCCTGGGTTCACACCTTTCTCCTGACTCAGCTTCCCGAGTAGCTGGGACTACAGGTGCCCGCCATAACACCCGGCTAATTTTTTTGTATTTTTAGTAGAGACGGGGTTTCACCGTGCTAGCCAGGATGGTCTCGATCTCCTGACCTTGTGATCCGCCCGTCTCGGCCTCCCGAAGTGCTGGGATTACAGGCGTGAGCCACCACGTCCGGCTGGAGACAGTATTTCTTAACAGCAATGTATATAATGCAGCACAGCACCTTCTGGTCAATGTCTGCTTTCATTATCAATATATCACTCTCCACAGCTACACAGGAGGTAACAGAGATGTGACATAGTGGAGTTTTTCTCTCCAATGTTCATGATTCTGTGAGGTTTAATGATCAGCATGTTTATTTCCACAGTTAATCATTGAAACAATAAATGATTTTTGGCATTGCAGCAGGAAGGAACATGTTTTATAGTCCTGATTACAGCCCACTCTACCCTGACCATCATGAATACTTCTTTGGAGGTTTAGGGATTTCATCTGAATGAATTTATTTAAAATGCATTCTTGCCCCTGAATTGTTCTATTATGAATGTTTGTGAACATATGGCAAATGAAATGAAAATTTTTAGTGTACTTTTGCTTTAAACTTCAATGAAAGGCTCAGCCAAGAGAAGTAACGTGGCTGTGCTATGCCAGGGAGACCAAATTCAGTTCAATCTCTTTGAGGGAAAAGTTTTACAAACCATAAACTAGCATTATCACTTGGAAAGGCCCCCACTGAGACTGAGGAGGTAGGTACAAGAAAGAATCATCCTTTTAGTGGCTCATTTTTTCCCTCCCTCTGCACTTTCAGCACTTTTAGACATTTTTGGGAAAAAAGCTGTAGCAGTAGAAATGATTCTGCTGGCAAGAATAAGAAACTGGAGAGAAGCAAAGACTATTTCTGTGCAAATGTCCCTTGCATTGTTTCTGTTCCAAGAACATTATTTATATAAAGACTCATAGAATCAAAGATTCACGGAGGCCTAGAATCTGGATGTTTTATCCCCAGAGACTAAGGTCCATGCACAGGCTTACTGAGGCACAGTACTGATTAAGAGCTTAAATGTTTATTTAAAACAGAAATGCCAAACCACTCCACCCTCAACCTTTCAAGCCTGGCTAACAATAAACTAGTTCTTCCGCAACAATGTTAGAGCAGAGGAGTAACTCAGGTTATATTGTAACTCAAAAGCAATACTATTAGAAAACTTAAAACACCTAGCACTGCATAAAGAAAAAAGCAGGACAAAATGTAAAGAGAATTAGCTACAGAAAACCATTCAAAGGCATTTCTACTGCCTCATCTTTTACTCCATCCCCCTTTGAACTGGTTTCTGTTTCCATACTTGTTTGGTGGGAAAAAAAATCATATGGCTGTCTCAGGCACAATATGAGAAAGTGCAGACTGTCTCTAAGGCACAGAACTTAGATTCTCAGCCAGATTAATAGCAAATCTAGACTTCCTAAGGGAATATGCTAGAGAAAATGACCACAGCGTTCCACTGCTAGGGAAAGACTCCCCTTTGAACAAGACCAGGGCGCTCACCCACCCCCAGCACTCACTTTCACCCCACCTTCTCAGCAACGTGCCCATGTCCCTCAGCTCCACAGCAGAAGCAATCCTCATGATGAACACCCAAACTGACCTGGCCTCTCAGGCCTGCTGAGATGATTGATGAGCATGAGGATACAGGGACATGACAGGCCAATCAGTCCTTAAGAAAATCAAAGTTGCATTTACATGCTGAACCAAAACCCACTGTCAGGGGTTACGGCAACCCCCGCAAGTCCCCAGAACTTGCAACTTTAATCAAAGTTTGGCTGCTTCCCTGATTTCAAGAAAAGGTTTCAGTGATTACATTAGTACTAATATAATAGGCTTCTCAGAACTGAGAAAACAATGGGAACATCAAACCAAAGAAGATCCCATCAAACAGAGCTGCCTGTCCCCAGCAACGGGGTTCTCCCCGAGCATCAGCCTTTATGCCACCAGTTTTGGGGAAATGGCAAATTTTCCATTGCACAGGACCTCCCATAATGTTGAACAGATGATCAAACATTTTGGTCTGGGGAAAATGAAACAAAATTATTTTAGCTATTTGTAGGAAGGTGGGATGTGAGACTCATCAAAGGTAGGATGTGTGACACAAAATACCACAGGAACATTTTACAAGGCTAGGTGGAAACACAAAGCTCACATCCTTAAGGAAACCATCAAATACTTGCCTAGAACTTTCTATATGAAGTTTTGTTCTTCTAGGACACTATTTCTCTTTGGCAAGCTAGCTTTTTTCTATCTACAAAGACACAATGAGTACAGGATTAGAAGTGAGCTCTCAGCCAAATTCCTTTTGCAAGTTCTACCTGTTCTGTTAGGCTTCAGGGACTCCCAGGGTTTGGTGCTG